TGACTCCGACGAAGGACTAACGTCCGAAACGTCAGTTACTATTTTCACTACGGTGTATAACTTATCATTCTACGATAACTGTTTTATTAGAAACACCGACGCAGTCCACGCTAGTGTTTACTAGCCATCATCTACGTTTTACATGATAAAGAACTTATTTCCCGAAAGCAAAGGGATTTTATTGTTCTGCCATCTAACCACAGGAAGGTAGCCCAAGCAGTATTATGGGATGAGCACGTGATGTTGCAAAACTTTTATTAATCATTTCATTTTGAGATAGTAGTTTTGACTAGTTGTTTCATTCTGCCTGATTACATGAATACTTAAAATTAAGGCTGGAATTATAAAGGCTTTCCTAATGATATTTTAAAGTTAGTGCGTTACTAATTAGGAGCTTGCTTGACTGTTTTAAAAAATACCGCGACCACGAAGGTTGTTACCGATCAGTGGCGTTAGTTTTCGTATATGGTAACAGTTATTTGTGTTTTTGGTGTGGTAAAAGATCGATGCTTCTCATCAGTCCACGGAGAACAGCATCAACTGTTATGGATGACATCCACTGTTATCTGGTATGGTAAAGGTCCTTGCCTTACCAAGATAACAGTGGATGGGTAGGAATGGCATCCACTGTTATGGATGACATCCACTGTTATCTGGTATGGTAAAAGGTCGTTTCCTTACCAAGATAACTGTGGATGGGTAGGAATGGCATCCACTGTTATGGATGGCATCCAATGTTATCTGGTATGGTAAAAGATCCTTGTCTTACCAAGATAACAGTGGATGGGTAGGAATGGCATCCACTGTTATAGATGGCATACACTGTTATCTGGTATGGTAAAAGGTCGTTTCCTTACCAAGATAACTGTGGATGGGTAGGAATGGCATCCACTGTTATGGATGGCATCCATTGTTATCTGGTATGGTAAAAGGTCGTTGTCTTACCAAGATAACAGTGGATGGGTAGGAATGGCATCAACTATTGTGGATGGCATCCAATGTTACTGGCATATGGCAAACGTTCTTTGCCTATTTACGTAAATGACATTACCTGTCTTACCAAGACTGAAGGCCAACTTATTCCAACAAAACGAAGCTTCAAGAAATTGTCAAAACAAGATTTGATGAACACGAATACATGCACGAACACTAACAGATCCTCACTCCTCCATATCCTATCCCACGCTAATCTCTTAACTCACTTCGAAATCTTTCCTGATCCAAGTTAACACTTCAGTCGTGATGGCTTGCTACAATTAATTGAATGTATGGTATACAAAATCTCTTGATAACACTTTCATTTGTTGTGTCTTCATTACCACTGGATCACGTTTCTTTTAACTTTAACACTTATGTTTAAAGTCTATTCCGCCCGCACTAGATATAATCCCTATTTACTAAACCTCTTCACTAGAGAGAAACCATACTGTCAGACTTTTTGACCACAAATCGTGAAAAGAAAAGTAGTTAAAAGATGATATAGTATTTGTAATTAAAGAAAGCATCAGCCAAAAACCCTTTTTATCTTTGACGTTAAAATGTTTTCCCATTTCAGACCACGTGTCATTTCCTTGAGAATAAGATTCTTCCTGTCGTTTGAGTTGTATCCATATTCATGTGTCTTCTCATGTGCTACTGTTAAACAAAGAAGTAATACTCTAGGGAATGATACGTGGTTTGAAATGGGGAAAAATTAAGACCAAACTAAGAAATATATTTTCTAAAAATCCGTCTTGTTAAGCGATCACGTCACTGGTAGCACATGACTGTTTTGGCGCGAACGAGTATGAAGTTTAATCTTTCAGGGGGGGAAAGTAAGGAGTCAGTTGTTTTTGATTATTTATCAATATATCCATTTATTATTCATTACAACCGCAAAGAAGAACTTAAACATTGAAATGAGCGGAATAACTCGATCGATAAGATATATTTGGGGACTTAAAAAAGATTTAAAAGGATTCGATCAAATGGGTTTCAATGATAGATATATCTGTTTGCACTCACGCAAAACTCGTTCTAAACAAAACGTGCTTCAAGCCATGGGTATTGAACAAGTCTATGTTTACTAATATAAAATCGAGTCATATTTCTTCCATCCTACTGTTTTGAAGAATCCTGTTGCATCCTTCAGGCAACACCAACCGCTTTTAACACACCGCTTTATTCATTTTCGAATTATATGTGTCGGGCTGACGCGAGTGAAAAACGTTTGCGCATGCTCTGAATCCGTATGCAAATTAGTCAAAACATAAGTACATTTGACTTTCAAACATGCCTGATTAATTGGACTTCACAAAATGCCAAAACTTAGTGTCCATGCTTGAAACTTAAGGATAATTCTTTCATATTGTGTTTGTTAAGACAGTATCTTGATCAGACAAAAGTATACTCTCGAACTTTTTTGTATACTTTGAGAAAACAAACATTTATTTTCTCACTCAAACTCTTCAAAATTCTTAGAAAACGTGCTGAAATGCACGCATGCGCAAACGTTTTTCTCTAGCATCTGTTGGGCTCCAATTAGTCCTGCTTGCACGTCATCTTTATGGCAATGAACACTGTTTTAAGCGAACCTTGTTCTACTAATGGGCTCTTTTGCTTTGGGCTTTAACACTTTCTCATTCCAAGTCCATTCATATAATTCCTTATTAACTTACTTGTTTACCGGCAAAGCCTGTTCAAAACATTTTCCCATTCATTTTTATTCACAGCATCATTACATTGCATACTACATGTAATTTACTTTATCACCTGCAAAATTTGGCCAAAACAGTTTTCTTTATTTCACGTCCATTTATCATTCTATTGCATATTAATTTATTTGTTCACTATGCAGCAATACTTGGCCAAAATGTTTTCCCATTTCAGTCCCAATGTTATTCCTTTTGATCAGGTTATTTATTCGTTTACCAATAACGCGCTTGAAAAAAATACATTAATATACATGAAGTTCCAACAAGCCTAAAATGGGAGGACATTTCTCACCCAAAGTAAAGGAATCCATTGCGGTAAGTTGGCCTCGTTTTACCGTTTGAGTTGAAGACATTTAATGAATGATAAACTTTATTTAATAACGCTAACATATTCATCTAGTGCTGATTTCTAATATGGGCGTGTAAATTTACACTGAAACGAAACGTCTGATAAATGTATTTTTTTGGTGCTGTACACGCTAAAATTATTTTGAATCTATATTCACTAAACTGGCTACACAGTCCTTGTATACATTTTGTGTTGACCAACCTTGATACATATAAATCAATTGTTTTCAGAATAACCTATTCGTCTATTTGGGCTTCCTATTTTTTCGACGCATGGATCCTGACACCACCCCGGAGAAATGTAATTGTAACGATCTCTCCCGAGCAGGTCGACTGCTTTGTAATACAAGTAAGCTATAGTGCGACAGTGTGCTTCTTCTTTGGTCTTCAACACTTTTTTCGCTCCATTCAGGATCTCAAACACAAAACCCTTGTTTCGTGGCAATGTACAGAGATGGTACATATCATTTTGAAACGAAATGTCACATGATTGTCTAGACCAATGGTAGTACTGCCCCTGTTAGGAGAATGTAAAAGATGATCAGATTCGTTCCGGAAAAAAAAGTCACGTGATTGCCTGGACCAATAGTATTACTGCCCCTGTTGGGAGAATTCAAAAGATTAACAGATAATCAGATTTTTTTTCAAAGACGTGAGATAGAAACTCGTGGGAGTTCGTTGGTTTGATCCCCGCGGCCAAAATAACATCCAGGGGATCGTTTGGTTGTAATGTCTTTGTATGATGACCTTTTTAATGCCGGATGACATAAAATGTCCTTCGTAAAGTCACGTCCTGACTTAAAGCATGGGTGATATGGCAGTGAGAGCACTCGATCGCCTCTCCATAAATAAATGCGTCTAGATCGATAACCTGAAGCAACCTCTGGGGTTATCTAAGTCAGGGCATGGCTAACTTATCTACGTCAGGGCATGGCTAACTCACAGATTGACACCTGAAACAACCTCTACGCTGATCAAAGTCAGGGCACGGCTAACTAAGAGGGAGGAAAACCAGGAGAACCGGGTGAAAACGACATTATAGTAACTATGTACTATAGGTGTTTTTCTGCTTGGTAATTTATTAGACATGATTGACATCTGTATCATTATAACTTACACAGCTGTAGCACACATCATGCTTGTTGCACGCTGGGGTGAATTTCTTCTTGTAAAGAAACGGCAGGTTACCAGGAATACTGCATCCGTTCACTTGTACTCGACATTGGTGGGCAGCCCCTTGGTGGGTTATGACATGTATTACCACTATCAGTAGTAGATATACCCCAAACATAGGGTCTGATGAACAAGGTATGTAGATATATATATACAGGCAGGTGACTGGGTCTATACTCTAGGGGAAACTTGCTGCCAACCAATACGTGATCCTGGCGCTGCTGTTGAAACTAATGGTTAGCCTTTAAACTGTATTGAACCCTGAAACCGAACCTTTGGGCTGATCTAAGTCAGGGCATAGCTAGCTTACAGACTAACCCTGAAACAGAACCTCTTGGCTGATCTAAGGGCGTTTTCCATTAGGTCGAACCGACAAGTCCAAACAGCCAGTTCTCAACTACAGTACTATTTGAGAACTGACCACTTAGACTGGTCGGTTTGACTTATGGAAGGCGCTCTAAGTCAGGGCACGCAGTCTATAGTAACCGTTAACCGATTGAACCCTGAAATAGCCAGTCTGGGCTGATTAAAGTCTTGGAATGGCGAACTCACAGGTCGAATTGGAATTTAGCTTGTCAGGTTTTGCAGAGGGGAAAAAACCAGAGAGCCCGATCAAAAACCCTCGAATCATAGGAAAGACCCAATAAACTCTACTCACATGTGATTTTCAGTTTGGAAATCAAACCCGAGACCCCAGAGGTAAAATTCGAGTGCTTTTATTTAAGGTGACTGCCTACTTTTGGAAATTGATTTAAGCTTATTTTAAAACTTCGATTTTCCGAATTGAAATTTAATTCTGATTCCAAATCTGGAAAGAAAAATAGGGTGTCCCGAGCTCGTTTTCGAGATAATCAGTATTTAATGGAAGCCTACGCACGAGCTTTTGGAGTAAAAATTGCGCCACCGGAAGTGATTAGAAAAAAATTAAGATTAATAAGATAATAGTTATTTGCAGACTATATGATTGCACGAACGAAGGCTAGTCAATCATTCTATAATAATACACGGATATTTTCGACAAAAAGACAGAGAGATACATCGATTTGTTATATTTTGTGGTTTCGGTGCTCTTAAAAAATCTCATAAAGTCGAACAAAAATCCCTACAAAAATCTATTTTTTCACGTGTTCCCGATTTAAACTTTTCCTAAAATGTTGATATAACCTAGATTTTTAGGAGTTTTTTCGAATGAGCTATCAAAAAATATAGAGTCCCGTGCAAAATTTGAGGGTTTTGCCCTGTTGAAGCTCAAAACGCGTATGGTTCTTCAATAAAATCTTGTAGATTTTTCAGCGGTTTTTGAGCGCGCGCACATCGTGGGCTCAAATCGAACGTTCAAAAGTAGGCAGCCACCTTAAACATCTAGTTTCTATAAGTTGTCTCCAAGAGCTCTCATGCGAGCTCATCTAGGGAGATCACTTTGATCAGCCCAGAGGTTGTTTCAGCGCATCGATAAGATTTGAAGGTAGTGTAAAAAAATCATGGTCTAGATGGGGAACGTTAAAGGGTTAAAACAGAAAGACAAGAGTAATATTCATAGTAATATTTGCTCGTCCCCAGGGTTTTATCAGCCGTGGAATAATGAAGATATCCTGGAAACGAGTGTGAGATTTTGAAGGATCACTTTTCTATTTTAGATCTGATTTGGAAGTTCAGTTTTTTTAATGTAGTTAAGACGACTGAACATGTCTGAAAAACGACCATAAGAAGAACTGGCCACTTTGATCAGATTATGGATTATATACATAAGAATTGGATTTCTCTAAATTACTTCCTCTGGCACCCAACGATAACCATCTGTTTCACTATAAACTAGAATTAAAGGTATCCTTGAGAGGATCAGATAACTATTCAAATTTGGAGAAATTAGTGTGGGAAGGAAAAATCTCAGATTTAAGTTTATCTACCCCGGAATCGAAAAACAAATAAGCAAATGTTCATACTTACCTCAGATCAAGATCGACAGCCCAGGAAATCAGTTTCAATTATTAGTTTTTGCTCTTTGAATATTTGTCATCTTCTGCTTCGTTTTAATGGATGCGATTTCATAATTCAAACACTTTGTTTTAAAATAATTATATAATTGAAATGATACACCTGACAAAAAAAAAAAAGGTTTTTATACTCGAAAAACAAAAATTATGTCCCTTATAAGCCACACCGTACCTGACGGATTGTTTTTAAGGTCGTAATGATTTTATTGCCAGACTAGGACTACTTTACAGGTTGCACCACGGTATCACCTCTGATTGGTTCAAATATAATAAACAACAACCTGTTTGTAGTCTACACCTAATTTCAAGAAAACGCTGTCGTATAAAAATATAAAATAACAAAATAACAAATAGGARTGAATCATTTTTTTTTAGAAAAAAAGGTGAAATTATTTCAGTGTTTTGAAGGTATACCCTTATTATTTTGATATTACCTTGGTATATATTAAAACAGGTATTTTCATCAATCTAGGGGCTTTAGAAACATTTAAAATGAAAAAATTTCTAATGAATTTTTATTTGTCATTTTGTTATTTTTTAGATGACAACGTTCTCTCAATTAGGTGTAGATACAATGATACAAGAAAGAGTTTGTACACGTAACTCTTGTAACAACCTTGTTACAAGATATTAGGTTAAATAACTATTTATGCTTGTAATATTTTAGATTTTACTTCGACCCTAAATTGAACAATAATTGTTGTCGAGCTTTCGATCAAAGTGGTCATCTTCAGGACAACTGAAATCCAAGGTATCATGGACTGCGCACGTGTAATGAAAGTGTACGATGTTGTACAAAGTATTGGTAGTGATCAGCCACCCCACTGGGAAGAACTCTAGTGAGTCTATCCAGTTGTGATGGAAACATAAAGCTAAAGAAACTTATCAGCTTCAGTTCTGAAAAAAATCTAATCACAATGTTGAAAAAGTACTTCGTTATCGGAGCAAACGCTCTGATATCCGTCATGTCGTGCCGTGACATGTCACGCCGTGTCATGACACACCATGACATATCGAGCCTCGCCGTGCCTTGACGCGCCTAGCAAGACGTATCGCGCCGAGCCGTGCCGTAAAGCGCCGTACCATTTCTTAGTCTACGCATTTCGATTGGATGACAAGGAAACTCGCGTACTGTGATTGATTTAGGCGGAGGTTGTACCCTCTAGCGTGACCGTACCGTTAGCCTTGATCTTTTCACAAGAACAAACGACTTTAATACGATCCAAGACCAACGCCCTGTGAATTTTTGTTTTCTTACAGTTTTTTACAAGAGCAGTTTCTCATCGATTCATTGAAAATATGATTTAATTTTTTGACATAAATAGTAAAAAAACATTACAGTCTTTGGACCCACAACATGAAGTTTTGAAATAATTACAGCAGTTTTACAGTGTTATCGACCTGCGCCATTCATGAACCGGAGTAGTCAGGAGTAAAAGGACTGTAAAGAACGCTTTTATCTGAGTTGACACTCGACGTTCTCGCTCGAAGAACTGTTYCTTGGAACTTGACCTAGAAAAAGAAAAAAATTTTGGTATTGTTTTCGTTTCAAAAAGAATCAAATGAAAAAATTAATGTTATCGAGTGTCGCGACCATAAATAGCCGGCGCCAGGTTTACTAGAGACTGGGCCGAGTGATCAGTGAGTTATGCATTATTAGAACAATGTAGGAGAGCAGCAAGAAGGCCAACAATTGTAAGTTTTTCTGTCTTTAGTTTGTGAATCTTATATTATAGTTTGCAAATCGCTAGAGATCACTAAGAAAGCAAAGAAACATTAGAGTAACATTAGAACGTCCTTAGAGCAACTCGAAGATTTTAAAGGAATAAAGCGAGTATTATAAATAGAGTGCAAGTCATACATCCGTGAAACAAAACCAAGGATGTGTTGTCTAATTGTAACTATATTTTGTACAAAATAGTGGTATATTACTGGAGAAGAACATTGGGAACAAAAGCAAAATCCTCTACTCGGCTTTGTTTGGTTCATGCCTGAATGAATTCGACAACTAAATAGTTCAGTGATAAACTAAATGCTAAATAGGTGGTAAGTGATTTTTTCACGAATATATGGCGCGCACTCTAAGGTACCAGTCATTAGTCGGAGGGGTGGGGGGTGGATTAGCCGGAAGGGGGGGTGGATTAGCCGGAAGGGGGGGGGGGGTGGAGGAGAAAATGGTGGCCCCTCAAACTTTTTTTAGAGGAACATGGGGGGCCTTGAAAGGTCAAAAGGAGGATTGGGAGGATTTTTTAGATGATTGAAGGGGTTACCCCAAAAAACATGAAGGCTATTAGCTTCGGGTCTGGAAAATGTTTTGCATCAAAAACATTTTCTCCTCCACCCCGCGAAACCCCACTAAAACGACGAAGAATCAGTCAGGGCACGACGAAAATACAGCCAATCAGAATGTTTCTTTTATTGACACACTCCGATAAAAAAATGGCAAATGCGGCATGAGATGTTCCTTGGTATTCTACCATTGTATAACTAGTATTTTAATAATCGTACCTTTAATGTGTTTTTGTTACTGATCAAGGCTTGTGTGTTCGATAAACACACCATTTCTTCTTCTTCTTGTCTCGTCATTGTTTCTTTTCTTTCTGGTGAATCGTCAAAAGCATGAATCTTGTTTTGCCTTGAAAAACAAATATGCGAAATCGTTTTAAATAATGTGAAGAAGAAGGAGAAAGAGAAGAAGGAGCAAGAGAAGGAGAAGGCGGGAAGAGGAGAAGGAGATGGAGAAGGAGAAGGAGAGGGAGAAGGAGAAGGAGAGGGAGAAGGAGAACTGAAATAAGAA